CCGCGGTACACTCGCCACCCCCAACACTGGATGAGAAGCCAAGAAACACTCCAAACTACACCAGGAGAGAAATGAGGACTCCCTACTCCACCCAGGTGAAGAACTATGAATTCCTAACTACATCACATGAGGAACAAGAACCATCCCCAACACCCTGTGTGAGCTGGAGGACCTACCCCGACCACGTGGTGCATCTGCAGCTGTAGTGAGGTAGTTGCTTAGCAGTCAGGTACAACGGCCATCAAGACAGTGGGAAGGACTCTTGGTGCCGACATCAGGTCACAAGAATGTCTACAGACCAGCTCTCACAGTACCAGATCTAAAGTTAATCTATATGTCGACTCTATGTTTCTTAGGTTTTCGTAATGAAAGCCTTTGTCAATCAAGTGACCCACTCCCCGATTTCACCATATCATCTCTATTCATTGTATATTTTCAACCTTCGGGCTGCCATGTTATCTTAATAAACCGTTAATTATTATTATTTATTATTATTATTACATCACTCACTAAAGGCCATCACAGCGTCTGCCCTAAAGCTATGAGATAATTTATATTGTAAAATATTTGTATTAAAGATTTTGTCATTGTGCTAAGAAAAAGTAGAAATTTATATATAATTAAGTGTGATATATGAAAGGGTAATTATACAGTATATGAAGATTATTCTTACTTAGTTATATGATATAGGTAGTATTATTAGATGGAAGTGAAATGAATTGATAGAGGTCAGGTATAAGATGGGCGTGTTTTATATAGTTACGTAAATGTGTGTGTGGTGTGTGTGTGTGTGTGTGTGTGTGTGTGTGTGTGTGTGTTAATCAGCTGCTATTGTATTCGTATAATAAAAATAATAGAAAATTTGGGAAATATCAATTAATTTATTCGTTGACCTCCAGAGACTTAATAATTACAGGTGTTAACTCATACAGGTGTACCGCAGAGAGAGAGAGAGAGAGAGAGAGAGCCAACCAGACAGACAGACAGGGACACGACTATCTCATTCAGTAATCACCTTATAGAGAAACTCAGACTGAAAATGTTAACCCAAGGATAACGTCATGAGGATCGATAACACTCCCCTTATCTATCATGACTTAACAACCCAGTCGGGGGCAGCTAACATAGGCACTGGACTCAAGGTTAACTAGCTGACCCCATTACTCCAAAACCCACCTCAGCATGTTAATGTTAGTTTTCTTAAAATAACTCGTTTTATAAGTGTTTGTAATGGTTGATATTAATATGTTCTCAAATGATATATATATATTTTTCTTATTTCGACAGATGAATCGCAGTTGTAATTATTTTTGTTGCTGTCACTGGTATTAATGCTGCTGTGATTTGTATGCTGTGTATTGTGTATATCAGTGTATTGGTGATGTGTGTATGCTTTGAGTGTCAGAAGTACAAAAACAGACATAGGTGTACACACACACACACACACACACACACACACACACTAAATAGAGATTCGTGCTGATTAAACCTTAAAAAAATACCTGAATTTTTTGCCAGATATGGATAAACCCTTCGTTTTTATTGCTATAACTTAGTAGAAATTAATTTGTGTATAATAAATTTGGTTAGGTTAGGTTAGTTTAGTTTAGTTTAGGTTAGGTTAGGTTAGGTTAGTTTAGGTTAGGTTAGGTTAGGTTTGGTTAGTTTAGTTTAGGTTAGGTTAGGTTTTGTACGAAGGCATTTTTTTATATATATATTTTTATGATTTTCATGATCGTTTAAGGTCAGTCAAAAAAAAATACATAGAAGTTATCGTTAATCGGCAATTAACTGTAGTTTTTGTAACATAAACATACCCACAAGTCATTTACCAGCACAGCAGATCTTATACTATTTTCCTCTGGACTCTGACTTTGCTTAAATGTAACTTTTTGCCACTAGAAAGATTTAACATTCTCTTGTCATTATATTGAAGAAAAAGTCGTATTCTACCCCAAGCCTTATAAGTCACAGCTCTCTGTTCCGCCTGGCTTCATAACGCAGAACAAAAAGGCAATAGACACTAGTAACTTAATATATTGATTGACTTATGTACCATTTTAACTAATTTCTTGATGGAACTCATATTTCTAGTAACATACTCAAGATCATATAACTCATTTCAAAAACGTCTTAATGTCATATCTAACATTTCATCAACATTACTAACATTTCATCGCAGATTTTAAAATTTTTATCAAAGCTGACAATAAGTGGCAATGGGAAACTGTTTCTTGAAGCCAACTCCCGACTACTCCCGCCAGTCTAGTTTTTATCACTCACACACACACACACACACACACACACACACACACACACACACACACACACACACACACACAAGGTGGAGGAGGAGTTTGAGCTATCATGTAGGCTGCTCGACTTGGATTTTTAAATGACTAAGCATTTTTATTTCTATTTTTAAGATTAATGCAATTACAAGGTGGAGGTGAGAGAGAGAGAGGAGAGAGAGAGAGAGAGAGAGACGTAAGTATTTAAATTTTTTGGTGTGTATGAGAGAGTAAATGTGTATATGTATGTTTCTATATGTATGTGTGTATAATATTTGTGTGTGTGGGTTTGTCTGTGTGTGGGTTTGTCTGTGTGTGTGGGTTTGTCTGTGTGTGTGTGGTGTGTGGGTTGTTGTGTGTGTGGGTTGTCTGTGTGTGGGTTTGTCTGTGTGTGTGTGTGTGTGGGTTTGTCTGTGTGTGTGTGTGTTTGTCTGTGTGTGGGTTTGTCTGTGTGTGGGTTTGTCTGTGTGTGTGGGTTTGTCTGTGTGTGTGGGTTTGTCTGTGTGTGTGGGTTTGTCTGTGTGTGGGTTTGTCTGTGTGTGTGGGTTTGTCTGTGTGTGTGGGTTTGTCTGTGTGTGTGGGTTTGTCTGTGTGTGTGGGTTTGTCTGTGTGTGTGGGTTTGTCTGTGTGTGTGGGTTTGTCTGTGTGTGTGGGTTTGTCTGTGTGTGTGGGTTTGTCTGTGTGTGTGGGTTGTGTGTGTGTGTGTGTGGGTTTGTCTGTGTGTGTGGGGTTTGTCTGTGTGTGTGTGTGTTGTGTTGGGTGTGTTGTGTGTGTGGGTTTGTCTGTGTGTGTGGGTTTGTCTGTGTGTGTGGGGTTTGTCTGTGTGTGTGTGTCTGTGTGTGTGGGTTTGTTTGTGTGTGGGTTTGTCTGTGTGTGTGGGGTGTTTGTCTGTGTGTGTGGGTTTGTCTGTGTGTGTGGGTGTGTGTGTGTGGGGTTTGTCTGTGTGTGTGTGGGTTTGTCTGTGTGTGTGGGTTTGTTTGTGTGTGTGGGTTTGTCTGTGTGTGGGTTTGTCTGTGTGTGTGGGTTTGTTGTGTGTGTGTGGGGTTTGTCTGTGTGTGTGGGTTTGTCTGTGTGTGTGGGTTTGTCTGTGTGTGTGGGTTTGTCTGTGTGTGTGGGTTTGTCTGTGTGTGGGGTTTGTCTGTGTGTGTGGGTTTGTCTGTGTGTGTGGGTTTGTCTGTGTGTGTGGGTTTGTCTGTGTGTGTGGGTTTGTCTGTGTGTGGGTTTGTCTGTGTGTGTGGGTTTGTCTGTTTGTTGTGGGTGTGTGTGTGTGTGTGTGTGTGTGTGTGGGTTTGTCTGTGTGTGTGTGGGTTTGTCTGTGTGTGTGGGTTTGTCTGTGTGTGTGGGTTTGTCTGTGTGTGTGGGTTTGTCTGTGTGTGTGGGTTTGTCTGTGTGTGTGGGTTTGTCTGTGTGTGTGGGTTTGTTTGTGTGTGTGGGTTTGTCTGTGTGTGGGTTTGTCTGTGTGTGTGGGTTTGTTTGTGTGTGTGGGTTTGTGTGTGTGTGGGTTTGTGTGTGTGGGTTTGTCTGTGTGTGTGGGTTTGTCTGTGTGTGGGTTTGTCTGTGTGTGTGGGTTTGTTTGTGTGTGTGGGGTTTGTTGTGTGTGTGTGTGGGTTTGTCTGTGTTTGTCTGTGTGTGTGGGTTTGTCTGTGTGTGTGGGGTTTGTCTGTGTGTTTGTCTGTGTGTGTGGGTTGTCTGTGTGTGTGGTTTGTCTGTGTGTGTCTGTGTGTGTGGGTTTGTCTGTGTGTGTGTGTGGGTTTGTCTGTGTGTGTGGGTTTGTCTGTGTGTGTGGGTTTGTCTGTGTGTGTGGGTTTGTCTGTGTGTGTGGGTTTGTCTGTGTGTGTGGGTTTGTCTGTGTGTGTGGGTTTGTCTGTGTAACAGTATGAGTGAATGTCTGTACTGTGTGTAAATGTCAGTGAGTGTGTGTGCAGAATTTCACTTAAAAGAGAAAGTGAAAATATCTCTTTCTTATCACCTGTCTCTCTGTCTCTCTGTCTCCCCTCTCTCTTCCTCATAATTTCTCTATCTTTGTCTTATTCTTTCCCTTTCTTTCTCATCTTTATCTCTCCAATTTTCACTCTTTCTCTTTATTTTTCTTATTATCTCTTTACTTCTTTCTTATATCCCTTCTCCCTTATTTATTCTCTCCCTTTCTTATTCTGTCTTGTTATTTGTGTCGTTGTCATTATGTCTCCCTTCTTTTTCCCCTCTCTCTCTCTCTCTCTCTCTCTCTCTCTCTCTCTCTCTCACCTCAATCATAACTATCTCTCTTAACTTTTCTTTCGCTGTAAAAATTATCAATATTTCTACCCTTTAATTTGTATCATTATTATCGCTATTTCTTTTCCACGTAGAATCAATAAAAAAAAATAACATTATTTTCTCTACATCAATATTACACCATTCAGTAACTTCTCAAATTAAATAGCAACACTTGAAATATTATAACTAGGAATAAAATACATCGTTGTGGTAGGTTTTATTTATAAAATACAAAGTTTGTAGTATAAAATAAATTTCGATTTATATATTTGACAGACAGACACACAAGTAAACAAACAGACAGACACACGAGTAAACACACAGACAGACACACGAGTAAACAAACAGACAGACACACGAGTAAACAAACACACAGACACACAAGTAAACAAACAGACAGGCACACAAGTAAACAAACAGACGGACAAACAAGCGTGTAGGATGACCAGCTCT